GTCCGATGTGGACTTTGCTTGTTGGCGTTCGTGGTGACATTTAGTATGGTGGAGTTAGCCATCGTGTGTAGCTCGTGGTGAGTTGTGTGTGTGCTTGGGTGATCAAGCGTTTTTAGTGTCACTGGTGTGCGTTGGGTGCTGACGTACTTGGTGAAGTACTTCTGAGATGTGGAAGATTGAAGCCTAGACTCATGGAGAGTTTAGAAAAGACGGTTCTATTGAAGAGGTCTGTGAAGATTGCAGTTGTAGAAGATAGTGTGCTCTGGCGCGCCCAGATGGTGTTGTATGCATGTGTGCTAATACTTAAACACGCATGCATACAACAGTGTAGATTGCTTCTTAGAAAAGAGTGGTAAACACTAGTGTGTGTGTGTTTTACCATATAGAAATTGTAGGTTGCTCCTGGTTCTAAGTCAATAAAATCTGGACAAGGTCCCGGGGATGTAGAAAAACAAACCCCGTTAAAAAATTTGATATGTCTTACCTTCTACACTATGTTTTTCGTCGCCTCATCTACATCAACAGGTTGTAATGCTTCATATTTCTTCTGGCCAAGATCGTGTTTCAAACTTCTCGATCAATAGCATTATAAACTGCAACAGAGGAGACTGAAGTCTGATTGTGTATAAGATTGTTCCTTTGTAACCATGACTTGTGATCTGGTGGTGATTAACTTGAGGACAAAATTCCAAAATGGTGAAGCCATTAGGGTTCGAGTTCCGGCTACTGGGGAATTACCATTTCGACATTGCCAGAGACATGGGACCGACACGTGGCAACATATGACTAGTCTGGACCACTTCTGTGGGGTCAGGATACCTGTATAATTTAAAAAAAAATTGTTCCTTTGTTTCCATATGTTGAAAACAGTCACTTGCACAACAATCTTCTGGAGAATAGAGAGCTTCCTTGAGGTTGGGGACCACAGCCATGAAAGAAGCTCCAGTCCAGGTGAGCATCGGAGCTAATGGTGGTGGGAGAGTTACTAATACCTCTGTCCGCTGTGCTGTATACGCAGGATAAGAGCAGGTGGTCACCAGTTTCTTCATGTCTAGAACAAATACAGCACATGGGTGAAAGAGAGAGCCCCCAGGAGGCTAGTCTATGTCTGATTATACTAGTTTAATGCCTATATTCATGTTATTTATTTCTTTATCTGTTTATTTCATGTTGGAGAATGATGATAAGATATTGGTAGTTTACTCTAGAAAACATAGAACAATTAGACTTTATTTTAATGGGAATTTTACATAATTTATGTTCTTAATTTGTAAGAGTATAACAAAGAGTAACACAACATACCTTATTTTAGTGAAGATTCTAAATAATTGATGGTCTTCTCTGTAGGAGAAGAAGAAGAAGAAACTGACGGCGTTAAAAGAATGTAGGAAGGCGTTTCCTTTCTTTTTTTTCTTAGCTATTTTCCTCTTTTTAAAAATTTTTTAATACAGTTTTTAACTAATCCTATATAGCAATTTGATTGGTGTTAAGGATTGAGGCGAATTCTCTAGCACACATCCAAATTTTGTTCAAGCCAGATCTTTGTGATTCCTAAGTAGGAAGCATGGAGAAGAACCTCTCTTGATCTCCAAGGAAGAGGAGTCTAGAAACACCCAGCCAAGGCCAGCTTTCGAGGTTGATGATTTACAGACAGCGTCTGTGTTGCAGTGAAGTGGCGTCAGCTGGTGGATCTCCATCCAATGGTGAGTTAAGTGTGATCGTTGGTGCCTGTAATGGTATTAGCTGCACACGCTTGGGCTTAGGCGAATTATAGTATATGTAAGTTCTGGGAACACGCTGTTGATCTTTGCTACATTCCATTCTCGAGTTTCTCTAGACAAAAGGTTAGACACAATCGCTCATGACCTTGCAATGTAGAAGGTCCAAATGGACGAGTGTTGTTTAGTAGATTCTCCATTTTCTATAGACTTTCCAAGGTGGCTTAGAAGTAGTCTGGTTTGGTGAGGATCCTTCATGCGAGTTTCCCTAGTAGCTAGATTGAGGAGCTCCATATCTCTGAATCGTAGACCTCTTAGGTTCTTAGGTTTAGTCTGATGATTGTTGCAGGGCCGGCTCAAAGCATAAACAATTCAAGCTACCGCATATGACATCCAATACAAAACGAACATATTTTTATTAAAATTTACATATTAAGTTATCATTTATAATTAAACATGATTATATCAAAATTAATAGTAAAAATGGTAATTTTTATTTATGAGTTTTATCAATAAAATTATTTATCAAAAGTATTGTCAGTTTATTATTATTTTAAAGGCTAAAAAGTTTATGTTAATTAAAAATATATTTTTATACTAAAAATATTTTCTACTTTTATTATATTTTTCTACTTTTATTATATTATTTATTGTTGCTTTTATTCATTATTAGTATTTTATACTTAATGAAATATTAAATTGATATTTATGTTAGTATAAAATAAAAATTAATGGATCTTTTTGTGTAGTCAATGATTATATAGAATTAACTACAATCTCAAATAAAAATTATATCCGACGATTTTGTTTGAGACGAAGAAGTTAACAACGTCACATGGAGGAACCAGCGAAGAGTGAGAGACCGAGAGAAACAGAAGAGCCATGGTTGCAGAGGACAGAGACGACGCCGGCGAGCTCCTACGCCGGCGGCGACGTCGAAAAACAGAGTTGACGGCGCTTTTTCGATTATGTGTCTAGGAGCTTTCTAGGGCGAACTGGTGATTTGTATAAATTGACAGTCATTCAAATTTCATGTCACTTTATGTGTTTATGACAATACTTGAATGTTGCTCCCAAAGTTTAAAAACTAATATATATAGTATGGCTCCCAAAATTTCATATTTTTATATTAAGATTAATTTAGAAATGTTTATAGACTAATAAGTCTTACATCTAGCCCTAATAATTTTTGTCAACTTCTTGCTTTTCCAGTTACCTGTAACGAACTAAATCAATCTCACGTTAGATGCTATACAAGTCGTAGCAGGATTAACCGATAAAAACTTTTTGAAGAATGAAAAGAAAAAAAAACAACTTTTTAAAGAATGAAACGTAACAAGAACGGAGACTTTACTAAAAGCAGTGAGTCATATAATTTTAAAACTACTGGAAACGTACATAGAACTTGCGGTTTACAGTTTGACTGACATAAGAAGCACGACTGAAATCAATTCTGTCAGAGGTAACGTGATAACATGTTCCTTTCCCAAGTTGTAGTATCGTATTTATTGTACAGGATACTTGCGGTTTACAATCATATACTCATATAAGAAAACTATACACGATTGAAATCAATTCTGTTAGAGTCAACGGGATGGGATGTTTTCTTTTTCCAAGTTGTATTTATTGTACAGTAGTAGTACACTTGCAGTTTACAATCATACTGACAAAAAAAAAAACACTAACCGCGACTGAAATCAACTGTCTTAGTGTCAACGTGATGGCATGTTTATTTCCCAAGTTGTGATAACGGTACGATAGTACAGTTAAATACTCTCTATTTGAAATTGATACATGTTTGAAAAGGTATTATAAGCTTTTGATGTTTTAATCTTTTCTAAATATACCCTATAATATTTGTTCTTTAAATAGAAAACTTAGTAACATTTAATAAAAACTAGGTAATAATCCGCGCCTTGCGCTGAATGAGATTATTATTTTTGTTACTGTTAAGATAAAAATGTATTATGTTTGTTTAGCATAGATATTGGTTCGGTTTTACGTTATTTTTTTAATGTCCTACAATATAACTATCATTCTAAATCTATATTTATTTTGGTTTATTTGGTTTAAATTTTTGATGTTTTTAATTTTTTGATGATAACCAAAAACTAATGTTATTTGTTTGGTTTCGTTTTATATAAATTTTAGAAATTTTTGATGTCGAACTAATAGTTTCCTATTATAATTTCTAAAGATATGTAAAATCAAAGAAAATCTAAATAATATTTGAAGAAAAAAAGAAAATAAAAGTATTAACATAAAACATTTCACTACAATTTGCGCGATAGTGAAAAAAAACATTAAAAAAAAAATTCAACTTCAATAAGAATTAAATTCTCACTTGTAGTGAGTATTTAGTTATATAGTCGCTCATGTCAATGTGTACATGTATGTATATGTAAAAGTATATAAATGTGACGATAAATATATGAATATATCGTTAATTAAGATTTAAAACATTTTTGTTCAAAATAACACATGATAGTAAATTCTTAAAAAAATTAAGTAAATATAAAAAAAACCTAAAAAAATAATAACATTTTTTCATATGAAACAAAGCAAATTGTACCCGTAAAGAATAGAAATAATATATATTACAAAATGACAATTTCACTTGGTACCCGAATTATGTTTTTAATCGATTTTGTGATTTTTATTTCTTTTTAAAGCTTTTTTTGATTTCTGATTTTCTTCTACCAATTTGATTTTTTTCTTATTCTTGGTCTGATATGAAAACTTTAATTATAAAAATGTTAATATTTGACTAAACTAAAGATCCGACTTTATGTGTGGTATTTTTCACCTTAGTTTCTTTAATTCATAATCAATCATCGTATTTGTTATTATTTTGTACTGAAGCCTCAACCATGACCAACTTCGGCAAGGTACGAAACTTTCAATTTCTATAAACATTTTCATCGCAACATTTTAGTTGATGCGAATCTTAATGATTTTGTAATTTTCTTACAATAAAGATATTATTCATTAATTTCACGTCGAAAGTTTTAATTTATTAATACAAAAGGTAAAAATGTAATAAAAATGAATTAATTAAAAATAGTATATAAACATATTAAATAATAAATTTAAAAAATTAGTGTGTAAATGCATTAATTGTCAAATGATTGTGAAACTAACATATGTGTGGACGCATTTATTACAATGTTTATTTTAATATATAAGAAATAATGCTTATTGACAAAAAAAAAGACAAAAAGGTATATAAAAGGTAGATAGATCCACTGCTACCTCCATCATCTCTTCTTCTCAAAGCTTTCAGCCACTCTTAACTTTTGACAAGGAATACGATGGAAATGGACTTAAAGCTTGAGGTGATGGGGAGAGAAGTGATCAAACCTGCTACACCCTCACCAAATAATCACATTCAACTCTCTCTTCTCGATTTTTCCGTTCCTGCAATGTACGTGTCAACCATCTTCATCTACAAATCTGAAGAACTAGTCAGCGCGTCGCCCGAGATCATCTCAAAGAAACTGAAAAGCTCTCTGTCTGAGACTCTCTCACGCTTCTATCCACTCGCTGGAGAGATAGAAGGCGTCTCTATCAACTGCAACGACAAAGGAGCTGCCTACACCGAGGCACGCACCAATCTCCTTCTCCCTGAGTTCTTGAAAACCCTCAACGTTGAATCTCTAGAGGAACTCCGGCCAAAGATCGCCGCCAGAGATTCCCCAACGGTCTGGCCATTGTTGAGTGTCAATGTCACCTTCTTCGGGTCTGGTTCAGGAGTGGCTGTCTCGGTCTGTGTCTCTCACAGAATCTGTGACGCTTCTTCATTGCTTACCTTGGTAACAGATTGGTCAGCCACCATGGCAAACAAAAAGTCAAATGTGAGCACTCATCAGTTTGCTGAGGCCACCATTTATCCTCCTGCTCCTCCTCACATGGCTCAACTACAGTCCCCAACAATGAACTCAAAGAAGTGCATAACGAACCGTTTCGTCTTTGAGTCCTCCAAGATCGCTGAGCTCAAGCGCAAAGCCGCTAGCCCAAGCGTCACGATGCCTACACGTGTGGAAGTTATCACGTCAGTTATATGGAAATGTGCTAGAAATGCGTCGCAGTCTAACTTGGTCGCTCCAAGGTCAACGCTCATGTTCCAAGCCGTGGACTTGCGGCTTAGGGTTCCTTCTAGTGTTTTGTCACCGGACGCTATTGGTAACCTTCAGACAGCATTCTTTCTCAAGAAAGACGCAGAGAGAAAACTTGAAATAGACGAAATCGTGACCGCATTCAGGACGGCCAAAGAAGAAGTCAACAAGATGTTAAAAGATAATGTCCAAAGCAATACACTTGGTCAGGGTTTGTTGAACGTGATGGGAAGTTTTGTGCCTGAGTACAAACCGGACAGAGACATATACACAATGTCTAGCTGGTGCGGAAAGCCTTTCTACGAGGTTGACTTCGGGTGGGGTAGTCCGGTCTGGACAGGATCAGCTTCACATACCATATATGATAACACAGTGTTTATTGTACTGATGGACTCAAAGGATGGTGAAGGTGTAGAAGCATGGATAAGCTTACCTGCTGAAGACATGTTTGTGTTTGTTCATGACCAAGAGTTGCTTGCTTATGCAGTCCTAAATCCCCCCGTCACAATCTAAACAAATAGCCATATCTTTTTATTGTTTGGAGGAAAGGGTTAAAAATATCCAATTCTTGATTTAGTTTTTTTTTCTTCAACTGGCTTTTGTATTTTGCTTGAATAGATTGATAATCATTTTAGATTTCATGCTATTTGATGTGTTTACAACAATGACTTGTATGTGCTCGATATGGTTTACTTTAATTTCTGTTGTTGTCAATTTCTTATTTTTCCAGTTACTTGTAACGAACTAAGATGGATCTGGGCATTCCCCAACTTAGTTTTAAATTAAAATGACAAATAATTGATTTGTTTACAAAGAACAGAGAAATACCTTTAAATATGATTTTGTAAAGGGGGAGAAGTTGAAGAAGATGACTGACGTGAGGGGATGGGTTATTAAAAACAATTTTACTAGTTAAATTATGAGATAAAGTCAGAGAAATCCCTATATTAATGGCAACAAAGTTAATTTCAATGCATATCCATCTTTAAAAAAACAACGTTGATAATGTTTTTTAAAAGTGTTTGATATTTTGAATTAATAAATACCTGCTATTAAATATTTACTAATTACGGCAACAATTGTTGTATATATGTTCATAGTAATTTCCTTTTTCCAGCTCAATTTTTTTTAATTATTTAGAAATTTTGTAGAGTTTCCAAAAAGGGTTTTTAGTAAATATTTAATAGCAGGTATTTATTAATTCAAAATATCAAACACTTTTAAAAAACATTATCAACGTTGTTTTTTTTTTATTATCAACGTTGTTCATTTAGAAATAAAAAATAAATGTTGGAAGATATAAACAAATAAAAACTTATTAACGTTGGAATTCATTTAACTAAATATATTTGTGTCATTTTGTTATTGATGTAAGACTTGAATCTTTTGTTTAAGTGATATTAACTTTGTATCGTTTCTACAAGTAACATAAACACAGATTTGTATAGTATCAGTTTTTTAAATGATGTAAGCTCATACTTTGTATCAACTTCTCAAAAGTGATGTAAATGAATGTATATTTGTATCAATTTTATTGACATGATGCAAAATAAATTAAAACCCCATCATTTATTTTAGCTGATGTTATAAAAACACAGTCGGCATCATCTGCTAATAAACTATTCAAACTAGTATCACTTATTTCTCTGATACTATTTATGTGATGCAACATTTAAAAATCAAATTTGAATATATTATGAAAATTCCAAAATTAGTTACTATGTCATTTTTACATTTTGAACCTTCAAAAATATATTAAAACTTATTATAAAATTAAATTTTACATCTAAAATAAACAGAAATAACTTTCATTAGTTATTAAAAACGAAAAAGAAACTAATATTTTCATATCAATAAATTTTACTTTTTCGATTATCATTATTTCATTTTTTCAAATGACTTAATAAAAAATTCATCGAAGTATAAGATATTACAAGTTTTCAGTCTTATATAATATTAAAATGTATGAGTTTATTTTATTTTATTTTGTTTTCAGAATATGATCGGATCACGGGTTAATAGCAGATTTTGGATTTTACAAGGTTTTATCTAAGTTTTAAGTAAAAACTTTTTATTAAAGTTGAACCGGATTGTCGGTTCAATCACAGTCTGAGTCGAATATGAAAATATTTCCTGGGAATTAAATATATTAGAACAATTTTTTTTTGAAACACTAATATAATAAATTTAAAATTATTTTATTTCTAAAAAATTTATAAAATCAATCAAACTTTATCAAAATAGTAAAATTATACCCGCGCTTTTAAAGCACGGGTCAAAATCTAGGCGGGTCAAAACCTTTGCTTCAACTGTGCGATAAAAACATAGAAAATCGACGAGTCTTTCATCACATAAGATCTCTTCAAGAGTAGTTTTTTTTTTTGTCTAGCTATGGGAAAATCGACAAGTCTTTCATCTCATATGACTCTAGAAATGTTTAGCTATGGATGGAGATCTTCCCATAGGTTGGTAAAAACATAGCTGAAATTAATACTGTGCGACAAAAAATAAAAATCATTTGTTGCAATTAGATCTTCCCTTTGGTTTAATAATATTGCACATAAGATCTCAATATCAATGACATTAACCATTGTAAATGTATGGTAGTTATGTCACAATTATCACATTATTTTTATTTGGTACAATAAATTCATTTTTAAAAAATATCACAAAATTGTCATTTAAATTTGAGTAATAAAAAATAACATATCAGTCTATCAGTAGCATGTAAAATTAGATGATGGTCAAAATATTTAAGATTTCGAATATGAAAAGTTTAAATTCATCTTAATATTGATATAAAAACAAATAATATTTCCTAACAAACTCGACGTGTGTCCGAGCTCGTCTGAGAGCTAGAAATAAGTAACAAACTAAAAACACACACATTCTTAATTGAAATCAAGTTTAAATTTAGTAAAACTGTAAACACTCCTAACAAAATTTTATAAAACAGAGTCCTATTTGAATTTTATCATGGCATATTTGAAATTTGGACCTATTAAATATGTTGTGACCAAAATAAAAATACATTTAATATTTTCTCTTTAAAGACATTAAAGGTAATTTTAGAAATAGTATATTCACTAATCATTTTTCTAACAATATTTTCTGCCATAACAATTGTGTTATGCATATCTAAGAGTTAATACCTAGCTGATTTGCATTCGTATTCTTCTACGCGGTTTCGCACAATGGTAATATCACTATCTCACCCAGATTTTGAATTGCTAATATTTCTGGGTTTTCGAATTAATGGATATTTTGTTGTTTCGTACGAATTATTTCGCGATATTGATGAAGCCGTTTATAACAATGTTGAAGCGTCAATATGATTCCAACTGCTTTAAAGGCTTTCATGCCTCTTTGACTCTTGGAGCTTTAAATACAAATTGTATTTTATATAATTACTGAAATTTTGGAGCTCTTTAGAGGTTATGGAGGAAATGAACACACCATCGAAAAGAAGATAAAGCTAGACCATGAGTAGACTCGATCAGACGAAGAAACTCCCCAAGTTCAGTCTCTCTCTCTCTCTCTCTCTCTCTCTCTCTCTCTCTCTCTCTCTCTCTCTCTCTCTCTCTCTCTCTCTCTTCCGTAGTGTCCCTTGGGTTAGTGTGGTTCGAATAAAGCTTATGAGAAACAAGAGACAAGTTGTGGTTAAGAAAATGAGGTGTGACACACCCTTCCTCTTCAACCCAGTCAATCTCGAATCAAAGTTGAAAATGTGATCAAGGAGCATAATATCCTAGCGGCAAAAGACATCAGTGAGCTTTTCTGCAAACTCATCATTATGGGTGTTTGTGGTCACAATGTTGGGTGCTTGATGATGAGACTCAAGGAATGTTTGTTTCTTTTAAGCTGAGACAGAACAAAAGATATAAATTGAGAAGAACATTGCTCTATGGTTTAGAATAATAGGCTGATAATTCTGAAGTTAATGAATGTGGGTTAATATGGACATGTTAAATGATACCATATTTTGTGGCTTTTGATGATGGACAATACACCGTTTTGTTAAATGCAGATAAGCAGCTTGCTGAAATGCTAACAAGAATGTAAAGTTCTCTTTAGTCATTTAAACATCTCTGACTTTCCAAAGAATCAATCCATGTTTTAATCTCTAGAATTTGAGGGTGTTGTACATTAACAAGCATGAATCTATAAAATTATAGGTTTAGGTAAGTAAAGAGAAAAATGATTGTTTGATCTTAAAAGATAAAGACCAGACAAGGTTTGGGAATGTAGCAACAAGATCGATGAGTGATGTTATTTTTAGACAGATACTCTGATCTTACTCATAACTTTACTTTACTTACGCAAGAGCTCTCTGGTCCTTGATTAAAAATCTGAAAAAGAAGATGTTTATGTTTCTTGAATCTGAAGGCTTCATGTCTCTCTTCTTTTTATTTGTATTAAATAATATAATGTTTTTGTTGGGAATGACGTCTCTGTAATTATATAGGTTAAGTTATTATGTAAGAAATGTTGAGTTACTGTATTTAAGAGATGGGGTTGGATAAAATAAAAAGTTGATAGCAAGAAAAAAAGATAGGGTTTTTTTCAAAAAAAAAAAAAAGAAAAAAAGATAGGGTTGGATCGTAGTTGTTTTCTTGAATTTCAAAGGTTTAGCATTTGGGAGCTTCGAGTTTAAAAAATACAGTTTATTAAATTATATAACATAAACTAAAAAAATATATAATATGTTAATGTAGATTCTTATTTGAATCTCATGTGTGATATTTCAGTTGTGGACAACCAAACATAGGTTGATCTAAACTATGAGTTACTGTGTAATGAAATTAATAAATGAATATCAATGACACTAACCATTGTAAATGTATGGTAGTTATGTTACAATTATCACATTATTTTTATTTGGTACAATAAATTCATTTAAAAAATATCACAAAATTGTCATTTAAATTTGAGTAATAAAAAAATAACAAATCAGTCTATCGGTAGCATGTAAAGTTAGATGATGGTTCAAAATATTTAAGATTTCGAATATGAAAGTTTAAATTCATCTTAATATTGATATAAAAACAAATAATATTTCCTAACAAAAAAATAAGTAACGAACTAAAAGCACACATTCTTAACTGAAATCAAGTTTAATTTTAGTAAAATTGTAAACACTCCTAAAAAAATTTTATAAAAAATAATCCCGCATTTTAACGCGGGTTAGAATCTAGTCTTCTCTATGAAAAGAGAAGTACCAATTTTATCTACTATTTAAAAGTTATGTTGGACCATATCATTAATTATATAATATGACATATTTAATTGTTACATTAACCAGTCAAATATATATTATTTTCAAATATCTTAATAATTAATAAGGATATTAATAATAAATAAATTTAAATATAAAAAAATCTGTTGACAAATTCTAACAAGATCTTACCAAAAAAAATAAATATTGTTTTTATAAAATAAGTATTTCTGTATTTCGTTATTAGATATAAATATAATTAAAACTAAAATATAAATTATATATTTCAAAATTTTAGTTATATATTTATAAAATGAAAAATATACCCGCACGGATATGCGGATGAAACTCTACTACATATTAATTGAGAAGTTAAATCCACTAATTAATTTTGATTAATTGATTGGGTGATAGACCTGGATTAATCATACGTGTTGCCCCTAGCGCATCTTGATTTATATGGGATATTTTAAAGAATGTTAAAAACTTTAAATAGTTTTATTAGGGTTAGCCTTCTACTTTTTTAACTCTAACTTGAATTTTTATGACAAGGCTAAAAAGAGCTTAAAATAATTAACTCGTTGATTTACTAGGGTTAATCTCAGTTTTATTAAATGCAAGTTAATTCTCCTAAAAATAACGAATCATTTTTTTCATCCAAAAAACACAAAAACTTGTTTCTCCCAACTATTTAAAAAATCTTTTTACGTTAAAAATGTAAAATTTTGTGCTTCCTCCTAAAGGTTTGTATTTTTGCTCAAAACACAAACTATAGTTTTGCCCCACACACAAAAAGTCATTTTCCACCTAAATGCAAATTTATTATCTTATTAAAACATAAACTCGTTTTCCCGCCAAGAACACAAAAAAACTTATTTTCCCGTCAAGAACACAATTTTTTTTGTCCCATCACAATACAAAAATTCATTGTCCACCAAAACAAAACTCGATTCCCAACAAATGCAAAATTTAGTTTCCTGCCCAAGCATAAAGTTTCATTTATTCTCTAGAAAAACAAAACTTGTTTTCTTACCAAAAAAACACAAAACTTGTTTTCTGCCTAAATAGGAAAAAATCATTTTCTCGTCAAAATACAAAATTTAGTTTCCCGCTAAAACGCAACACTTATTTTCCCACTTAAAAATAATTTTTCCACTAAAAATAATTTTTTTTCCCGCCAAAAACACATAAACTCGTTTTCTCACCAAAATACAAAACACGTTTCCCTCTTCTAAAAACGTAAAAAAAAAAAATTTTGTTCTCGCTAAAAAAATTATTTTCCAACAAATAAAAAAATTTTGTTTTCCATCAAAAATGAAAAAAAAATCATTTTCCCTCCCAAACGCAAAAACCAGTTTCCAGTTAAAACGAAAAAAAAAAATTCCCACAAAAGACAAAAAAACTTATTTTTATACCAAAAACGCAAAATCACAAAAGTCAATTTCCGGTCAAAACATAAAACCACTTTTTCCTGACAAAAACGTAAACTTTTACTTTTCTACAAAAAATTTAAAAATCTCGTGTTCCCATCAAAACGTAAAATTTTGTTTTTTACCAAAAACATAGAACCTTGTTACTCACCAAAAGCCAAAAACAATTTTATTTTTTGCCAACAAAAACAAAAATTAATTTTTTATGCCTAAAACATAAAATTTTGTTTTCAAAAAATGTTAGGCTGTAATTGGTAAATATAAAATGGAATTAGTAGAATGAAAGGAATGAAATATGGAGAAGAATGGATTATATTTCATTCTATGTTTTTTTGACATCAAACGGCTGATCTATTACTCAAAGAACTTGAGGTGGCCTGGGGATCTAGACCGAAATAGAACAACCAACGTACACAAGCTTACGATAAAAAGACCTAGCTGTCCTAGCGAGCGAATCATTCTATGTATTCATGATCAATATTGTAATGTAATGATTTTCTTTGAATTTTTTTTTTGTTTTATGGAATTGATAGAATGAATATTTCATTTCCTTAATTACAAATTACTAGGTGTTTTGCCCGCACATGCGGGCTTAATTATCTTTAAATCTATTTAAAAATCATCAAAATAAATAATATTTGCATCCAAAAAATTTAACCTAAAACATTATTTTTTTTACATGATAAATTTATTCACAAATTAAAAAAATATACTTCTTCCTTTTAAACTTTAAAAAAATCTAAAGTCTATTTCCTTTCTTCTTAAATAATAAAAATATAGAAATATATCTTTCAATTTGAAAAATTGAATCAATAAATATAAAATCAAAAATTGATCTTACAAAAAGAATAAGATTAGTTTAGATAATAATACAATTAAAATTTATTTTTTCCAAACACGGTTTTTTTGTTTTTGAATGATTTTTTATTTTATTATGATAAATTCATGTTGAAGGATTACTTATATATAAAAATATAAAAATAAATTTAATTTAACGTGTGAGTCCAGAGGCGAAAATAACTTCACAAATATATATATATATATATATATATATATCCTTATATTATATTATTATATTCTTTTAATTTGAAAATAGTTACGTATTATAATTTTTTAAAATTTTTTAATGTCAATTATATACAATTAAAGTTTTTACTTAATTAATATTTATTTATGTGTTTTATGTTTTTGAAATTTTTTTATTAAATATATATACAATTAAAGTTTTTACTTAATTAATATTTATTTATGTGTTTTATGTTTTTGAAATTTTTTTATTAAATATATTTTTCGGATAACAACACAATATATATAGGATTTATCTTTTTATTTTTAAATATATATTTAAATGATGAATAATTCTTATCATTATTATTAATTTAAATCATTTATCTAATCAAATAAATATTAAATTCGTTTTTATTATTGGCTGTTTTATATATTTATTCATTAAGGGTAATATCGATATTAACCGCTCTAATTTTTAACGTGAGAGCTCCGTTGCGAAAAATCACTTCGCAAATAATAGTATAGATAAAAACTATAGAAGAGATCTTTTACAATATTTCATCCCAAAAATTGACAAAGTGGAATATTTCATTTCCTTAATTACCTTAAATCTTTCTTTTTTTTTAAATTGTCAAAACGTATAAAATAAAATTTCCTAGTTGTACACAATATTTGTGTTTGGCCAGCTCATACAAAAGACATTCAGGCAGGCTTTTTAAGTTTTTTTTTATTTGATTATAATTTTACAAAAAAAAATGTTTCAAAGCTGATGATTGCCGCGCGTCGTTTCACTCTGTCTCATCTCCAGCTTATATATACTCTCTTCAACCCATCCTCAAGCCCTACCTACCTCCTAGCCTCCTCACTCGCTCTCCCTCTTATCTTCAATCGCTCTCCTCTCTTCCTAACGTAAGTTCTCTTCTGCTCCGATCTCAAAGTAGAGTCACTGTTAAACTCCTAACTCTCTAACTGTTCATCATTTTAAACTAATTTCGAACGATCCGCCCTGAATTTCCCTTTAGATTCGAGTTTTTCCGCGTCGAGCTTTTTTATACTGTTTCGATTTCGAATTGTTCACCGTTTCAACTTAGATTCGAAGGATTCTACTTAAAATTCTATGATTCTGGTTTCTAGGGTTTTGATTGTGTAGATTCATCTTTGATCATGATTTTAAATAATTTTCTGTAGGTTGTTGGAAAATGGTGAGGAATGGAAGCAAGGCTGCGAAGCAGAAGAAGAGACCTCTCCCAGAGAGCAAGGACTCTGATCATGACGATGATCTCTCCAGGAGGAAGACGATGAGGCCAAAGCGAGCTGCAGCATGCACAAACTTCAAGGAGAAATCCGTCCGAATCTCTGGAAAATCCGCTACTGTTCCAGAAAAGGAGCATCATCCGATTGTGGAGGAGGAGCTTGTAGCTCTGCACTTGACAGCATCTTCTTCTTCTTCTTCTCCGGAGAGCGGTGATGGTGAGACTCAGCAAACCAGGAGGCTTACTGATTTCGTTTTACATGATGCCGACGGAGTTTCGCAGGCTGTGGAGATGGTGGAGCATGGTGACATGTTCATCACTGGTGTGATCTTGCCTTCCGGTGAGTGTTCTGACAAGGAGAAAGCTAAAGGCATGAGGTGTGAAGGTTTTGGACGTGTTGATAATTGGAGTATCTCTGGGTATGAAGATGGTTCCCCGGTGGTGTGGGTGTCGACTTCTCTGGCGGATTATGAATGCGTTAAGCCTGCTACAAGCTACATGAAGTTGTATGGCTATTTCTTTCAGAAGGCGTATGCCTCTGTTGAGGTTTACAAGAAAGTGGCCAAGGCTTCAGGTGGGAGCCCTGAGATGAGTCTTGAAGAATTGCTTGTTGCGGTTGCTAGGACTATGAGCTTGGAAAGCAAGTGCTTTTCTGGTGATTACTTGGCCATCAAAAACTTTGTTAGATCCCAAGGAGAATTCATATATAACCAGCTTGCGGGTTTGGATGATACGGCCAAGAAAGACGACGTAAGATTTGTTGAGATCCCTGCACTCATTTCTCTCAGAGATGCGAGTGATGCTGTTCTTATGGAAGGGCAATCTTCTAATGGTGTTCTGAGGATTGATGGAGTTTCTGAGGTTGCAGAGAGGAAGGAATCTGATCAACAAATGATTGACGAGGATGAAAAATTTGCTAAATTTTTACATGATGAAGAGTATAGGAATTCTATGCAACGGCCGAGAAAAAACAGCAGCTCAGCTTCGAATAAAGGATACATAATGACCACTGAGGATGAGATTGCTAATGATTACCCTCGTAAAGCTAATTATAAGAACTCCCAAGTAGAAACAGATGAGCTTTTATTATTCGAGGATGAAGACTGTGAGGTTGACATCGATGACCTGCCTCGTAAGATGCTTCACGATTGGGCGCTTTACGACATTGATTCAAGGCTGGTCTCCCTGGAGCTTCTCCCGATGAAGCCTTGTGCTGATATCGATGTAACCATCTTTGGTTCTGGTTTGATGGCAGAGGATGAAGGGAACTGGATTGATCTAGATGATCCTACTACCCCTATGCCGTCAGACGAACAGGCTGGGATACCCATATTCCTCAGCAAGATCAAGGAGTGGAACATTGAGTATGGGAATTCAATGATCTCGGTTTCAGTGCGAACAGATTTGGCCTGGTATCGACTTGGGAAACCGTCAAAGCAGTACGCACCTTGGTTTGAACCTATTTTGAAAACAGCAAGGGTTGTCGTAGGCATTTTTGCTCTTCTGGAGGAGCAAACTAGAATGGCTAAGCTTTCATTTGAAGATGTCATAAAAAAAGTGTCTGAGTTCGAGAGTAACCATAAGGCTTACATTTCTTCTGATCGCTCGGCTGTTGACAGATATGTGGTGGGCCATGGGCAAATAATGTTGCAGATGTTTTCAGAGTTTCCTAACAAGGAGATCAGAGGGTGTTCATTTATCACTACTCTTGCGAATAAAAGGGCAGAAAAGCACAACACAAGATGGACCATCAAGAAGAAGAAATCTTTTCCGAGAGTGAACTTGAACCCAAGGGCAGGTATGGCACCTGTATCAAAGATGAAGCCCATGCAAGCAATAGTAACTTGGCTGATCAACAGAATCTGGGGAGAGTTTTACTTCATTTACGTTCCAGAGGATCAATTGCAGGCAGTTGGTGCGAAAATCGAGGAGAAAGAGGCTGAAGAGGAGGAGGAGGAGGAGGAGGAGGAAAATGAAGAAGATGACGCAGAGGAAACTGAACCTGAACCAGAACCAGAACCTGTTGAGGTTGAAGCCTCTCATACTCTTCCAAAGAAAATTCTAGGCAGTTGTGGAAAAATGGAAACAAGATGGGATGGTGAGAGTCTAGGAAACACTTCTGTTGGTGAGCCTCTCTATCGACAAGCCCTCCTTGACGGGGAAATAGTGGCTGTAGGTGGTGCTGTCCTCTTGGAAGTCAATGAAACTCAGGCCATATACTTTGTGGAATACATGTTTGAAACATCAGATCACTGCAAAATGCTACATGGAAGACTTTTACAAAGAGGGTCCGAGACTGTTCTAGGGAACGCTGCTAACGAGAGGGAACTATTCCTGACAAACAAATGCACGACTGTACAGCTTAAGGACGTGAAAGGGACAGTCTGTTTTGAGATTCGATCGAGACCATGGGGGCATCAGTTTAGGAAAGAGAACACCATTGCGGATAAGCTGGACAGGGCAAGAGCTGAAGAAAGAAAGGCCAAGGAGTTGCCTACGGAGTACTTCTGCAAGAGTTTGTATTCACCTGAGAGAGGAGGTTTCTTTAGTCTTCCACTCAGTGATATGGGCTGCGCTTCTGGATCATGCACTTCATGCAGAATAAGAGAGGATGAAGAGGAAAAGAAAAAGATCAAACTAAACGGTTCAAAGACTGGTTTTTCCTCTTTTGGGGTTGACTATTGCGCTGATGATTTTGTCTATGTATCCCCCGACTGTATCGATGGATCATCGACGGTGGCTAATGGAATATTTAGGTGTGGAGGGAACATTGGCTTAAGAGCCTTTGTTGTTTGCCAAATTCTTGAGATCATTGTCCCAAAGAAATCAAGAAATAAGGGCTCCTCCTTTAAGGTTAATCTCCGGAGGTTTTACAGACCTGAAGATATTTCTCAAGGAAAGGCCTATGCTTCAGACATCCGAGAGGTATAACACAACTAGCTATTTCTTCTGTAATATATATCTTTCATAAGTGTATCTTACAATCTTTTTTTTTTGTTTGCAATTTGTTTTAGTTATATTACAGCGAGGACACATATGTTCTCAAACCAGACGCTCTAAAGGGAAAATGTGAAGTAAGGAAGAAAAATGATATGCCCTCAGGCTGTGAGTATCCAGTATTGGATAATATTTTCTTCTGTGAACAAATATACGACCCATCCAAAGGTTCGGTCAAGCAGGTAGATTGATTTTCACTCCTTCAGTTAATATTGTATACAGTTTAAAAACTCATATAATAATTGCTTATATAACTCGAGTGTTTTATGATTGTTGCTGTTTCCAATACAAAGTTGAAGTGTTCCTCTTTTAACTATCTTGTAACAGTTGCCCCTCAATATAAAGCCGAAGTTCTCTACTATTAAGGACGACGACGCACTTTTAAGAAAGAAAAAGGGGAAGGGAATAGAGAGTGAAACTGATTCTAGTATTGACAAGCCTGGGGAGGTACCTAAAGAGATGCGTCTGGCTACCCTAGATATATTTGCTGGTTGTGGTGGCCTGTCTCAGGGGCTGGAACAAGCAGGTATGTATTATCTCCTGTCAACACTTTATCAAGCAAAAACCATTGTATTAATCTGCATGCTTTTTTATTATGTACAAGGTGTATCTGAAACAAAATGGGCGATTGAGTATGAAAAGCCAGCTGGGGAGGCTTTTAGAAAAAACCATCCCGAAACAAAAGTTTTTGTTGACAACTGCAATGTGATTCTTAGGTAGTATAGTCCGTAAGAATACAACGCTTAATCTCTCTCCGCTATTTTGGCTGTTTCTTGTGTTGTGATCAGTTGTTTGAGATTTTCGACAGGGCTATAATGGAAAAATGTGGAGATCAAGATGAGTGTATCTCTACTGCAGAAGCTGATGAACTCGCTGCTAAACTTGATGAGGACCAGAAGCGTACTCTGCCAGTGCCTGGTCAAGTGGATTTCATCAACGGAGGCCCTCCATGTCAGGTATTATATTTAGTGATTGTTGCTTATACATAAGTGAAGAAGAGAGAGAGCTTAATCTTATGCAATTTGGCAGGGATTCTCTCGTATGAACCGGTTCAGCCAAAGGCCATGGAGTCAAGTTCAGCGTGAAATGATACTAGCATTCTTGTCCTTTGCTGATTATTTCCGGCCAAGATTCTTTCTCCTGGAGAACGTGGGAGCCTTTGTCTCATATAGTAAAGGGAAAATGTTTAGACTCACTCTGGTTTCTCTTCTCGAAATGGGTTACCAGGTAAATAAAGATACTTTCTCTGAGCATTGCAAAATACAGTGTCTGTGCCATAATATTCTGATAAATATGTATGTCAGGTGAGATTTGGGGTCTTGGAGGCAGGTGCATATGGGGTTTCTCAATCTCGCAAAAGGCTTTTTATATGGGCAGCCGCACCGGAAGAAGTTCTTCCCGAATGGCCTGAGCCGATGCATGTCTTTAATAGTCCAGACTTGACAATCCCACTATCCAAAGGTTTACTCTATGCTGCTGTTCCTAGTACTCAAAAGGGAGCACCTTTCCGTCCAATCACCGTGAGAGACACAATCGGCGATCTTCCACCAGTTGAGAATGGAGAATCCGAGATAAACAAAGAGGTATAATATAATCACACACATCAGGACAAAAATAGTGTTTTTTTTTTAATGATGGCACATAACAAAAAATGAAGCATGTCTTGTGTGTTGTTGCAGTATCAAACTGATCCAGTCTCGTGGTTCCAAAAGGGGATAAGAGGGAACAAGATTGTTCTCACTGATCACATCAGCCAAAAGATGAACGAGCACAACCTCATCCGATGTAAAAGAATCCCAAAGAGGCCAGGTGCTGATTGGCGTGACCTCCCAAAAGAAAAGGTCAGAGTCTTTATCATAAGACTCTTATTTATGCATATCCCACTAACACAAACTTACCAGATGCAATCTTTTTGTTGTTGCTCTAATTACAGGTGACTTTATCAGATGGGTCAGTGGTGGATTTGATTCCAGGGTGTCTAGCAGAGGAGAAACCTGGTAAAAAGAAAAGGCAGTGGAAAGGACTGTTTGGGAGGTTAGATTGGGAAGGCAACTTTCCAACTTGCGTCACTAAACCTACGCCCATGGGTATGGTTGCTATGTGCTTCCTTCCTGACCAAGACAGGATCGTCACTGTCCGTGAATGCGCCCGATCTCAGGTGATATATGAACCTTTTTTCTTCACTAGTTGACGTACTGGGGGTAAATTAATATAAAAATTTACTTTTGGAAAAGAATCCGTTTGATTTGGGAAAACGTCATATTTCCCCATGAAAAATATCTCATCCTTTCATATGACTCCCAAACTATTTCCTCATCCCAGATGTCCCCGAAATAAAAGTTCGAGATCTATTTCCCCATAAAACTAAAGCAGAGCACTTATATCCCCTGAAGTTAAATTTCGAAAGCCATAGCCCCATAAAATTAAATTACACGGTTTAAACCTATAATAATAAACCATTTTGGGTAATTAAACCAGATTTAGACTAAAAAGATCCGATCAAGATCCGATTACAACACTCAAACCAGAATTAACAACCGAGAAACCCTATAACCCTATGATTTCAATCGAAAATCAAAAATAAAAACCCTAGAAACACAAATCACAACACAAATCACGGAGAGGAAAAAGAAAGAAAAACGAAGAGAGATGGCTTCAGTTGATGATGTCGATGGGAGCGAAACCACAAATCACAACACAAATCACGGGTTGTTCCTGGTTTAATGTTAAGTTCTGAACCGGTTTTTGGTTTTGTTTTTGAGTTTGAAGGTTTGGTCTCTTGATTGTACCAAAAAATGTCTTAACCAATATCAAATTAAGTTTCATGGGGAAATAAATCTTGAACTTTTAATTCGGAGACATCTGGGATGGAGGAATAATTTGAGAGTCATATGGAAAGATGCAATACTTCTCGTGGAGAAATAGAAGGTCTTCCGGTTTAACTACAATACAACAACAGCTACATAATACAGAAGTTAATCAATTTAACATTAAATATTAAATTAGCATATAATTTTTTTTTTGTAAAATGTCAAGTATTAATAAATAGAGTAAGTATGGTGTTCCTAGTCAAGTAATGAAAATGATTTGGTTGTAATGAAAAATTGTGGCAGGGGTTTCCGGATAGCTATGAGTTCGAAGGGGAGATAGACCACAAGCATAAACAGATTGGGAATGCAGTGCCTCCACCTTTGGCCTTTGCTCTTGGTCGCAAGCTCAAAGAAGCACTACAGCTCAATAAGTGCGCCAATAATAATTAGTTTTGCATTTATTGTTCTTTATAGTGTGTATTCATTGTAATAAACCTCATCTTGAAACTCAATAGTCTTTTTTTTTTGGATTGAAACTCAATAGTCATACTTATATTATATAGTTTGTTAATTCGAAGTTTGTGTTCGATGCAACATATTGTTGTTATCGTTGTTCTTGTGTTGTTCCCTTTCGGTTATACAGATACGTGATGCCACCTGTTACATCATCCTTAACATTCATAATTAGATTCTGTTTTATAAATCAGCAAATCCAACGCTAAAACAACTCCATTTTCATGTTTTTGGCAACTATTTTCAAAACCACTAAAATTGTTTTTTGTAGTTTTATTTATTTTACCACTATTATTGTTCGTTGGTAGACATAGCTTTCTATGACTGGTTATATTCTTGTTCGTTTCGCAGATATAGCTATCTGCGTCTGAATATTGCGGTTGAACGCTGCGTTTAGTTCAATTTGAACGTGGAGAATTACCAGTCGTAGTCAAAAAAATTTTGATAGAAACATACATTACACATTTGCTCTTAAATTATTTTATTATTTACAAAAGAAACTTACCCTAATTAGACACAACTGCTATCTCTTCTCTAAGTGTGTAACTGGTGACCAAGAAATGAAAGAGAATAATGCAATGTTTATCATTCTTATTTTATTAGAAAATTTGTCAAATATGACTCAGAACTTGGTTTCAAAAAGAAAAAAGTAAATCCAAACATAAATCAAATGCAAAAATAACTTGAAAAGCTATTAAAATAACAACTAGCCACTTATGAACAAACAAAAAACCTGATTTTTTTGACATTTCTAACCTCCGTAACTATTCTATCCAGACGACTTAGTTGGAAGTCGTCTAGTATAGTTATTCTTAATAATAATTTAAAATTTTTGTAAAAAAATATTTAGATAAATGAAAAATTGAAATCATATAATTAACACCAGTTTTAAGAGATATAAATTAAGATAGAACAAAATTTAATTGTTTTTAACATAGATGAGTGAAAGTAGTGAGTCATGATATTCTTTGGTTTAGAGTTTGCCAACATATGTTGTAGTATTGTATGTGTTTCTTAGGGTTAGATTTTCGGAAGCATAAATGATTTTTTTTAAAATTTAAAATTTACCTAAGTGTGTTTATTTCTGTGTATAGTAAACACTATTTAAGTATAATTTGATTTTATAATGTGGTTAGTTAGTTAATTTAGTCAATTTAGTTTAGGGTTTAGGGTCTCGACGACTTAATCTTAAGTCGTCTGGTAAATATATTTAAGGCTGACAACTTAGTCGGATGTATAGTATCAACCGACGACTTAATAATAAGTTGTCCAAACCGGACCGAACCTTTGATTTTACCAATTTAGTTTTAAACCTAACCGGAATTTTGACCGGACATATATAAGATGTTTTTTTTACTCACTTTTTCAAAAAATTCAGAAAACCTAACGCCGTTTCTCTCAAAGGTGATTTCCGTCGAATCTCTCTAATCCATCGTTCTCAATGCCGGTTATCACCACCGTTCTCACCGCCGCTTCCTATATTTCCGATCTGCGAGGAAACCCAAGTGTCATTTTTCTGTAAACCCTAGCGTCGTTTCTCTTAGAGGTGTTTCGTTGAACTATGCCGCTGGTAAGTTATATCTAAAACATCGTTCTCACCGTTCTCACCGTCGTTCTCATTAAGCATCTTTTTCACGTCTATTTTTGCAGTTCTATAACCGCTTTGTCGAAGTCGACTATATCTTCTCCGAATTTTCAGGTTACCTTTCAAATGTTTACTGGAAGTCTTGGCAGACTTATAATTAAGTCGTCTGGAAAGTCTTCCACGTGGAAGACTTTCCAGACGACTTAATATAAGTCTTTCAACTGGAAGACTTGACAGATGACTTAATTATAAGTCGTCTGGAAAGTTTTCCAAACTTATAATTAAAATGTTATACTGGATGATTGTCTTTGATTTTTTTTTGCAGAAAAATGGATATTCCAGAACTCCCCTGTAGGATACATACACTAGGGCAAGAGCCTGACGCATTGCATAGCATTTTGTATCATCCGTGTAAGAAGTTGTATATTTCTCTAAGGAATGCTCTTAATTATGACGAATATGAAGAGCTGAAGGAGTCTAAGTTGGGAGTTTTCATCAAGTTCCAAGAGCTGGAATTTGAGCTTCAAGGTTGGTTCACTACATGCTCAGTTTCCAGCTCGACATAAAGAAAAAGTATGAGCTGTGGAGTCTTGCTGGTCCACAACCTTTGAGGTTTTCACTGTTAGAGTTTGAATATCTCACTGGTCTAAACTGCGAGTACATAGAGGACCTTGAGAGACCAAACTGTTCTGTTACAAAGGAGTTGGTTGCTTTCTGGGAGTTGTTGAGAGTTAATGTCGAAACTTGGCCAACTACTGATCAGATAATAGCAGCATTTGGGAGATGCGAAAGGTGGTCTCCGGATGATCGCAAGCGGCTCGGGTACCTTGCCATCTTGACTGGATACATTGAAGGGAGGAAGTTTTCAACCCCTACACGGGCTATTCTGGCAAGGCTAGTGATGGATCTAGAACGGTTTGAGAATTATCCATGGGGGAAAGTCGCATTTAAGGTGTTGATGGACTCTGTGAAGGCAAAGATATATCTGGTTGTTACACCATTGATGGGTTTGTACAAGCTCTCCAGGTCTGGGTGTACACAGCTCTGCCGGAATTGGGTGCTAATTATGGTCATCCCATACCAAACAGACCGTCTCCACCGATACTAGCTTACAAGGGTGGCAAAGGACGAAGATGGTTTAAAGATGTTATTGAAAGACATGTATTTACTTTACTCCAAGAAGCAGACTCTTTGAAAACTTATGATTAAGTCGTCTGGAAAGTCTTCCAACTGGATAACTTAGCAGACGACTTAAAAATAACTCGTCTGAAAAGTCTTCCAGCTGGATGACTTAGTAGAGGACTTATCATTAAGTCGTCCGCGAAGACTACCCAGACGAAGTCGTCTGCTAAGTCGTCCAGTTGGACGATTTTCAGACGACTTAATCATAAGTTTTTTTACGAAATCTTTTCTTTCCATCTTTTTTAATCCGTTAAATATCTAGGTTTATATCGTCTATTTACTGCAGACACAGAAGATTATTTAGTCTTCAAAATAAAGTTAGACAACAAGTTTTAAACAGTAACTTAAAAGATGAGCAAGTAAATGCTTAATTGATTAATTGTCTTGTTAAGAGGAAAGAAGGTAGTTGAACTTAGGTATTTTCTCAGGTATGACATACATGCAAGTTGTAAAGGGTTTTTATTATTCATAGTTATGGATTCAAACTTTTAAGAATTTGAAGAATTAACTCTACTGGATTTCAGATTAGAACTATCGTTTGATACTCTGAAGAAAATATCGATCGATGTATCTACCGAAACTATCGATTGATACTGATGCCGCTATATCGGTCGACACGACTGTCGTCTCGTCGAACGATATCGCATCCAGCGAGTGGTAAGGGTATGTTTGAATGGTTTTCTAGTCTTCATTAAATTAACTTAGATTCAGGGTATTTGCCAAGTTATCACTTGTCCAAATTGATCTAAAAATCAGAGGTAAGGGTGATCAATCCTTGACCTCAGCATTTATTGATAACTAGATTGAGAACTATATTTTAAACACCCTAATAATGGTTCATTTCAATGCATGAGTCAACCTTAATGAGAAAGCTAAATCTAACAAGAGAGACTACTCAAACATATTCATGAGAGACAAAGTCATGATGGTTTGAATAATGCTTTAAGATAATAATAACAAGAGAAACAATAAATAAGTAAAGCAAGAAAGTTCAATATCTTCTCTGGATTTGCAGTTCAGATCTCTCTCTCCATTCCTAAGCTCTTCTCAAAGTATAGCTAGATGCTTCTCCTAAAATTAGGTCTATAAGGTCTTTGGTGAAATCTTCATAAACTAGTACAAAACCCTCTTAAAATAGTCTAACAGGCGGTCAGGGACTTAATGTGTAAATTATTAAAACTCTTGTGAAGCAATTAGGGCTTCTAATCTTAATTTAATCGCTTGGATGACTTAAGTATCGATCGATATAGAATGTCTTATATCGATCGATATGAGTAATCTTTTATCGGTCGATTGCTCTCAATGCGCATCGGTCGATAGCTTAAACATCGTTTTGCTCATATCTTCATAAAGTCTCCATTTTAGCTCTACAATGGCTGTTTTACATCAGTGAGTACCTGAACCTGAAAAAGCTCTAAAAAGACACTAAAAGTATCATTTTGTTTCCAAAAACATATATAAATCATGGTTGAAAGTGGGTAAAATTCATGATATATCAACTCCTCCAGACTTATCATTTTGCTTGTCCTCAAGCAAATAATAGAACATTGGTCTAGAAAAGGTTTGAAAGGCGGAAGCTCCTACAATTCTAAACTTAGAACCATCACCTCTTTACTTATTGCAAGCCACTTCAGATATCTATCAATTTTCAAAAATACGTTACACCATATCCTAGCTTAGCAACCAAATTCAACTAGCCAACAGCTTAATGATCATGTTTGTCTATCCCCTCTGCTGATCTCATTTATGCATAAAATAATGGTGTAGGTTTTACCTTGGGAGTATCGATCAAGGAACACTTGGATTCAACTCAGACAAGTTTCAGGCATTCTCATTCTGGTTCCTTTTCTCCCTGTATCTCCCTTCTCGGAATCCCAAATTTTTTTTTTTATATCAATCTCAATGAACAACTGATGTTCATCTTATTGATCTTTCTACTTTTTGTAGCTCTTTCTGACAAAGTGTAGGCGAATAGTGGGGTCATAGGTAATGTACCTCTCCCTCGCTTCCACAATGTGTGATCATTCCTTTGAATTAGAATAGTGGGGTCATGGGTAATGTACCTCTCCTTCTGCCTCTCAGGAAATCATCTCTATCTTTTATTTTTCTCTTTTTGGATGCCAAAGGAAGGGGAGAAGGAAACCAAAATTATTAAGAATTTTACCTTCCA